GGCGGCGGCGGCGGGGCGTGGAAGAAAAGAAAAGAAGAAATGGGGTCAAATTGAAAATTTTAAAATATATAAAATTCGAATTTGGCCCTAATGACCGGAAGTTAACCTAGAAACGGGCTAATGGCTCATTAGTGAAAGGATTGTGTAAGTTCAGGGATTTTTGTGAAAGGATTTGAAGTTCAGGTACTACTTCGAAATTCCAGCTAAATTTCAGGTACCATTTGTAAAATTTATCCTAAAAAAAGTATGAATAAATGACTTTGGAACATTTCTCTCACATATCAATGAATAAGTCAAATTGATGAATGGCAGAGGGTATAGACCCCATGGTGGGCCCCAACAACTTTATTTTGTCCTAAAAACTAACGAAAACCAAATCTAATTCAGATTCATGACAGTCATATAACGCACATTAAGAAGAAAAAGACGTTTTGTAAGTGTCCACTCCACCATCAGATGCTTTTGGGGTCCACTAGGCCAAGCACAAATGCTTCCAAAAACCAAAAAAAAAAACTAAAAAAAATAAAAAAATTACCCACTTGTTAAAAAAATTCTATGCCTAGGTTTTTAGGACCAATAGGATAATTATCTAGAATGATGGAATCCCTACAGAAAAATGAATTGTGCTATTGTGGTCATAAAATTTACATATAAAATATAGATTTTCTCAAATATTTTTATAGAATAATAGTTGAATTTCTTTATTTTTCAAGAATCATTACATAAATTCATTTTATGTGTGATAGTCTATAAATTAATAAGTATGGACCAACGAATCACAAACGAATTTGCGCAGAAAAATATATTTATATGTTGTATTAAATAAAGTTGGTATTTAAAGAAAGTATAATTTAAATGTTACTATCCTATTTTGTCCTTATTTTATGATAGGGTATAATATGATTTTATTTGTAGATTAATAATGAATAAATATAATGTGAGAGATATATTAATAACTAATTAGTGCAAATAGTGATTTCGATGGGAAAAATTGTTTTTTGGAAAGGAATGAAAAGAGAACATATTTTTTATTAGTTGCAAATACATACGTCGGGGTATAGTGATTGAAATGACACAAATAAAATGATTTTAATTGAATGAATGAGTTCTAATTATACATATGTCGGTTACAAGTTCGCAAATACTTATTTTAAGAATAATGTTGGGTTGGGAGGCAACTATGGTTATAAAATGTTGGTTTCACCTTTTGCCAGCAAGTCTATGATTAAATTTTAATTTTCTTCTTCTCAGGTGACTGTTCAGTCGATCTTGAGGCAGATCCTTTAGAGGTTGGGACTCCTTTTTATTTTTACAATAATGATTTTATTATATTTTAGAATTACATGTGGTTAGTGATGGTGGTAGTTAAACATATAAAGTTGTGAATAATGTTATATATAGAATTGTAATGTACTCTATCTTACCGTCCTAATTACAGATTCTACCATTGAATTGACACAGAGATTAAATAACGTAAAATTGTATAGTTGAAAATAACTCAAACAAAGAAATAAAGTATATGAACGGCATTTTTTTATAAAGTAAAAAATGAAACTTCTTTCCGAGACAAATAAAAAAAGAAATCTAAAACTTTTTTTTATAAAATAGAGGGAATGAATATTTGTGGACAAGTTTGACAAATGAGATCAATAAGTGCGATCAAATTGGTGGCTCCAATAACAAAAGTCTAGATATTTTATGAGTGGTGATAATTTATCCTCCTTGAGGAGTGGCATTGTCATATAGAAATGTGAGTGAGCAAAGAATATACAAGAGTCATGCTTGGGAATACAAATTGCATCCTACATTTCACTCTAATATTTTCGTGAACTTCACAGACACAAAATATTATTCCGTGTTTGTAATATCTGTAAAGACATTAATGTTAGAAATGAGGTGTACTTTGATATTTCATAAGATCTTTTCAATACAATCGATTTGAAATATTGATTAGTCAATAATCATTTTTTCCAAGATACAGGATTGATTAATCGAATTAAAAAGGTTCATTTATACATTGATTTCGGCCCAGGATATGAGGGAATAATAAAAATTTCAACACAAAAAATAAAATGGGCATAAAATATACTATCTCTGTCCCGTTTTAAATTGTCCGTTTTGACTTTGCGGCATATTTAAGGAAGAGACAAAATAGATTTGATTTTCTGAAATTGTCATTACTTTTTAGAAGGGGTGACGGTGAATGAGAAGATAAAGAGGAGAAGAGTGACTTATTTTAGGAGTAGTTTAGGTATTTTACTCTTAAAAGTTTACGATAACAAGAAACATGCAATTTACTTTGAGATGGAGAAAATAGAAAAACAGGCAATTTAAAATAGGATAGAGAGAGTAACACGTATTTTTTCATTGATAAATGCAAAGTAATATTTTCAACTCAATCTCGTGAAGATCATCTTGGACTGAGAGTAATACATTACCAAATACTACCAAAGATGTATACTAGCACTTAATTAATGTTTAGATATAGTTCCCCTCTATCCTTGACTATTTGTCTTTTCTGAGTTTTTTTTTTAATATTTTAAGTTTTTTTAATATTATTGAATAAATTTTGATAATCAATTAAATAAAAACTACAGTATATTGCATATTCATTCAATGAAATACGGGAGTGATATTTCGAAAAGATTATGCAAGAAAAAATCTTATGAAAGCATTTTTGGTTCATATTAAGTTCATATAACTGATGATTAATGTTTATCCTATTTAACTCGAAAAAGTCAAAGTAAACAAATACAACCATAGGAAAAGCAGAGAAGAAGTAATATAAAGAGCACTCTATAAGATAAGAACAAAACATTAGACAAGTACAGCAAGGCCTGGCAAAAATTTCTTGTGTCTGTCTCTCCCTGTACAATACATCAAAATACCCCAGCAAAGTTTTTGCTCAGCCCAGTTATTACCTCATACATGTAAACATATGACGGGGGTACGCAAGGACTCCGGGAAAATATGTGTCAGGTAACGGTGGTAAAAATACCCGCTACTACACGGTAGGGTTATAATGGTAAATTTTACCCACGTTACCTGGGCAATTCCCGACGTCCTACCCGCCCCGGTCATTCGGTCGGTCCGGATCTTTCGGGTCATAAGACACTGATTCCACTGCCCCCATTATTGTTGAAGACTGAGGTGCCCAAGAAGGGAGGGGTGTGGCCATATTGGTGGTGACCTCCAGGGAGGGACAAACTCAGGGACAAAGATGTGGGGTCCAGATTCTCTGTGATTGAAAGCCTAGGAGAGGGAGGGGCCTGTGGGAAGCCATTGGTTTGGAGGGTTGGTTCACCAATTGACAGTACTGATGTGGGCGTTACAACCTGAGGACCCAAGCTTTCGTTCGAAGCTTTTCCTTCCTCCATTGAATATAGAGACACCTACATCGTTTTTTGCACGCAAATGTTTTAATGTTATACAAAAACCTTAAAAACAACGACAAACCCACTAAAATCCCACAAGATGTGAAATCTAGAAAGAGTGTGTGTACGCAAACTTGGGTCTACTTTGAAATAGAGAGACTGTTCTTTAGAACATTGGAGCAAAGACAAAAACATGTGCTCTTTATCTAGGACTCAATATGTATATAATGTTCTCGCGGTTTGATTGAAAAAATCAGATTAGACGAATACTCTAAACGGAGGGAATATTTCAGATTCACAATAGCATTGACGAGTTTCAAGAAAGAATGTATGGAGCATGTTGATATATGTTCCATAATGATGTTTATATCGTGATGTTTTTCAACACGCTCATTATGATATATTTCACTTATACTCCGTATTTCCCTATACGGAGTGTAATGAAGGATATATATAATACCAAACAGGGATAGTAAATGTGTGAAGGAAATGTGGGTCATGACTCATGAGAGTTGGTCAACTAAAGACAAGAAAAGAAACACGAGGGTAAATTGGTACTAATAAAAGTTGAAAGTGTGAAAGTGGTTGCTTTCTTTAAAAAGTACGGATTGCTCCGTTATTAGATGGGAATCATTGTGTTTGATACTCCATTAATAAAAGGGTAAGAAATTAATCTCCGTACATAATCAACCACTTGCAGATATCCAAATTAAAGGTGGGTGTTTCGTGACTGCTTCCACCATGCTTTTTAGGTGCACCATAAAAAATACCACTCCATAATAAAAATAAATAAATTATATATTCCATCTGTCCCATTTTTATTTTCTTTATTTATTCTACTATTTTTGTCTCTGAATATCATATTAGGCGGTTGTTTCTTTGTGTTGGCGTTTATTGGCTTAAAACTGATTAACAATTTTTAACTAATAAATGACTGAAATGATAGATAAGTCATTTAAAGATATTTATAAAAAGTGAAGGATAGGATTTGACTTTCTCGTTTTTCCCTTGATACATACGGAGTAAAAAGTTAACGTGGATGAGAAAGAAATGGGAGTTGGTGAAAAAAGTGAGTAAGAAAAAGTAAAGAAATTATTAGTCCTTTTGGTTTTTTGATTGATATTATTTCCAAATTTCATTGAAAATTGGGTTGCAATTACTCCCTCCGTCCTAAAACTTTCTTCCCAGAGCACTATTTCAACTTCATGGGAATTTATATTTATTTGTGTTTTTTCATGGCCTATATGATAAAATAAAATATTCTTGTCACTACTTGTCTTGTTAAACTTTTGATGTAGTTTTTAAATATGTATGTTTTATTTTTTATTTCTATACCAATAATTTAAATAAAATGGATTGAAAAAACTTGAAATTTTTCTTCATTTTATGCAACGGGAAGAAAGATATAGGACGGAGGGAGTAATAAATAAAATTTATATATAAAAAAGCTAAATCAAAAATAACAAAACAAGAGTTGATGTAACTATATTATTTTATCAAATGGATAGTAAAACGTTAAGAAAGTAAATAAAGCTGATTGGAATGAAGGGAGTAAATTTGAAGAAATCATGGCCTTATCTTCAAAATAAGAATGATATATTTTTATTTTCAATTTTTTTACTTTGAAGGTGTATTGACATTTTTTCCATCATCTCATATGGAACCAAAGATTCACTATAGATACAATGAAATAAAGCTAAACGACTTGGGATGACTTTATTTCAATAATTCTTTGAAAGTCTAAATTAGAAAGCTTTTTTTACGAGAAGAAGGTATCAAAAGGATAATGAAGTCTCATGTGTTTTGAATTTGCCATTTTACTCACCTAAATTAAAACAACACAATTTCAAATTTTCTCAAACTATGTGAAAATCGAAACCAACACGAGCATATGTTGGGCAGTAGTATCTTAAGTGGTGTTACTTACCGAGTCGGTGGTGATATCGAAGAGGCTAGACCGGCGGCGGCGGCGGTTGAGGTTGCTCCTCCTCAAGAAGTATTTCTGGGCGTGGCTTGCCACCTGCGTGGGCGTCCGACTCTTCACGAAATGCCTTGAGATTCCTCTCCAGTCTCCCTTTCCAACTTTCTGCAATCCCAACAGGAACAGCTTGTGCTCTTCCTCTGTCCATGGGACTCCTGATCATCATCAACCAAACTTCACCAAACTAATTTCAACATTTTTCTTTTTATATTGTCCCAAACTAATCTTTCATCTTTTTAACTTTCGTAATAAAATAAAGAATATGTTGTCGAATTCCAACTATTTACTTCCCAATGTTTTTCTCAAATTTCCTAAAGTTATAGTGTTACAATTAGAAGATGTTTGAGAGTAAAATTAACTTTACTAAAAAGCACTACTCTAGAGCCTTAATGAGCACTTTAGAAGTCATAATCTAAAAACTAAAAACTGTCAAACACTGAAAATTGCACTGCTTATTTTGTTAAAAGTAAAAATTCAAAAGTTGTTTATCAAACACAATCTTAAACACAAGGCAGAGGTGGTACTACTAGCAATTTACCCTTAAAACTAGAAGAGGGACACATTTTTACATGAACTTCACGTCTATGATTAACCTTCACAAGTCAAATAAGCATTTTCTCAGTGCTGTGATAAGATTTTTGTATCGAAGTATTTATCTATTTTTGACTTTTCTGTCAAATACTCTGAGACGAGAATAAATGTAAAAAAATTTGTGTGCACCATATCAAAGAACTTCTCATCCATCCATCTTCTACCATATTTTTCTTACTTTTAACTATAAGAATCACAGTAAATTAGAGTGATAGTGCCTTCAATTGAAAGGAAGGAAACAATACGGAGAAATCAAATTGACGATAGAATCAGGTAATAAATGAATCTAAAAACTGGATATATAACTATATAAGATCCGGTAACAAATCTGACTTCCGATCAGAAATGCCGGAGATCAATTAATTAGAGATCTGACCTCGCTTCCGCTCGCGGCCGCCGCAGCTAGACAGGTTAGGAGCGACATCGTCCGCAGAACCGTATCCTTCTTCTTCCGCGGCGGCGGCCGATTTGGCCGGATCGCAGTTGCCGTAACACGGCTGCTCATACTGCGACAAGTCGTTCAGGCTGACGCTCTTCCTCAGGGGGTCCACCTTCACCCGCACGCCGAAGAGCATGATCTCGCCGTAAGCGGCGGACGGAATCGGCGGCGAATCTCCGCCGTGGCCGCTGCCTCCACACCGCGGGACCATATCCTCTCGATAATCGCCCGGAAATTTATTGATCAATAAATACGAGTCAAAATTGTAAATGCAGCATAGAATTATTGCGATAAATAAATAACTCTATAAATAAATATAGAGATTATTGTAGTGTGTGGGGTGGGCACAATTGAGGAAGATGAAGGTTATGTAGGGAGTAAATAAAGGGAGACAAGCGTTGGATCCTACGTGGCCACCTGACAACGGTTTATCCAATTTTCTCTGTTTTTCTTTTGGGTAAGTTTTTCTTTTCTTTTTTTTTTTTGAATTATTGATCACTTCTTTCACCACTACTTTATGAGTTTTGTTTCCCTTCTTGTTTTCAGTGGGCGTGAATCTCGTTCTCGTTGCCCCGTTTCAAAATGTTCTGGTGCCATTTCGAAATTATTTCAAGTAATGTTCAGAAATTAATAACTCATATCAATTCTTATGTTTTTATTTCAAAAATTAAATTCTTGAATTGTCTCCCCATTTGATTATGTAATTTATCGCTAACATTGGAAAGGAACAAAGCAGAAAAATTTGAACTCGTTAGGTTTTGCCCTGATCCCAAATAATATGAGATAAAGTGTGATAGACTTGTGACCCGAAGTATTCCGCAACATTTGAATATAACGTGACATGACGTGAGATAGCATAAAACCCGAACATTCCAAAATTGTTTCATATGTGCACGTAGGGATGTTCAAAAGTATCCAATCCAAAAAATCTACTTAGGGTTCGACCCAATCAAAAGAATATGTCCACGATCCAGGTTGATTCGATACGAAAAATGGATATCCAATCTGATATTTTAGCTTTTAAATATTTCTAATCAGATATTTGAAAAACTAGATTAAATATGGAATAGAATATTAAAATTTCGGATATCCACAAATATCCAAACTTTAAGTTTAAAAAAACAAATACAAAACCAAACTCAACCAAAATAAGACTAATTCATTCTTATCACAATAATTATTAAATCAAAGCCCAATCCAAGTTTTGCACTCTTAGTCATTTTGTCATGTTATATTTGTTTATTATGTGAATATTTTTTTTCAAGACATTTATAAAATTATGACTTAAATAAAACTCTCAAAGTAATATGACATTTCAAACACGTTCAGTTTTAAATTTTAAATTAATTTTGAGCTCCACTATTCAAAAATAAAAATTCATCCCAAATGTTTTCTTAGAATAATTAGAAAAATAAGAATTCGAACAATAAAAATACAAATTGGATATTTCATTGATTTGAACCAAAATTTAAGAAATTGGAAACTAGATATTCGAAGATTTCTGGATCAGACATGGAATAGATTTTGTGAATTCAAAAATTTTGGATGTCCGAAAACGCGGATCAGATCGTATATATTGGAGTGAACATCCCCACCTGCAAGTTCGCAAGTTTACAAAGTTAGGGCGGTTGATCAATCTAAGACCAAATCGAATCGGAACAAATCTAGAGTCTAAATATTTTTACGACTGAATACATTAAATAAGGTTCAGAGCTCGTTCTGTTCAAGTTATTCTAATTACTTATTACTTATTCTTATTAGAATTAGATCGGATCAAAAAAGAACATATCAGATCAGAAACATATTTAAATACAACTACAATCATATCAAACCATATCGGATCAAATCAGCTCAGATCGGGCATGACCTTAAAAAAATTGTCTAGAGTGAACTAGACTTGAAAGACCTATTCCGTATAGTAAAATTAAATGAAACCATTATTTTCAACATTATAATTTATCAGTATAATTATTATAAATATTTATCTAAAAAGATAATATTGATGTCATATACAAATAAATACTTACTCTGTCTTGCAAAAATATTTAACAATTGATCAGGTACGAAGATTTAGAAAAGTTAAATTATGTGATTTAAAGTGGTATATGTTGGGATTTTAAGCGCGTAATATACCGAAAAATATTGAGAACTTGAAAAATAAATAAGCACAATACACAAGAAGAAAATATGAGAGAAAAATTATATCTTCACTATTTCAGAACGATACACAAAAAACTCTCCCTGTTTACAAGTGCTAAATACCAGACACTTATAAACAGACTTTTCACACCCTACACCTGGATGTATTTTTCCGATAAACTAAAACCAGTTACTCCCTACACTCACTCACACAATGTTGGTAATATCTTGTGTAGACCTCTCTCTTAACCTTCCTCTTTTTTTCCTCCCTACACTACGGTATTGTTGCATGGCTTTTAAATAGCCAAATACACAATGGTGGGAAATATTCTAGCTCACACCTCCAAGAGAAAGAAAACAAAACTCTAAAAAAAAAGGCTCTCCATCATGCAACTCCTCTTGGTTGTTTCCACGCAGCATCATCTCTTTTTTTTTATTCCTTTTTTTTTCTTTTTAATTAATCAATCCCAACAGTATACATTTAGATAAATAATAATAGTCACGCTTTTTTTCGAAAGTGAAAAAACCTTTTTTAAATGAACAAAAACTTGTTGAATATTATTAATGGATAACAGTTGTTACTTTTAGAGATTATACTTGTAGTTTAGATATTTTAATCATTTTTATTAGATAATTATTTATACTAAACATAAATATGCAACAAACTTCATTTAATCATAGATATTTTAGTAGACTATTTATAACATTAAAATATATCATTAAAATAAGGTCTTGTTCAGATTCTTTAATAAAGTAGAATGTGTATGATGATAATTTGTGTAGAGAAAAAAAATGATATGTATCATATACTTGTTTCCTTTTATTAAAAGGAAAGAAAACTCGATCTTACACTAGACAAAACCTAAGACCTTAATTGTAGAAAATATAATTAGATCTAAACTTGAATGGTTTGATTACACATAGATCTGCTATTTATAATAGCTACAAGACTATGACCTAATTACGAGCCCAACAAGAATGAGCCCATTAACGACAAACCCTACTACATTCCTTAACACTCCCCCTCAAGTTGAGCATGAGATGAAGAAATGCACAACTTGGACAATTAAAACAAAACTTAGACTAAAAAAATTGATAAACAACTTGAACTTGATCTGCTGTGATAACAACGAACGAAGGTGACCGGCCCTGCAAACGAACAATAAATTTTGATGACGAATGACTCCCACGCGGTGACACGGGGACGACTAACAAGCATCCCAAACTTGGAGGCCGTGTTTCCGGACTGAGGCGCGACTATGCGACCAACCTCACAAACAAATATGTCGAACTGAGGCGCGACTATGCGACCAACCTCACAAACAAACATGCCGAACATACAACGGGTTGCACTTGAACATACCAAATAGCAACCAAAAAACATTGTCGTCAAAAACGTCATCAAATTTCGATGAACGATAGAGCGAACATAAAACCTTCTTCCTCAAAGCACGAACAAACCAAAACAAATTCAACAAAGTGACAAACCAACTCACTAACCAGAATGAGCCCATGCAAACACCAATGGAGACCAATTTTCCGCACAAGAGAGACACTTCTTCATTGATTTACCCTAACAAACGTAATTGACTGAAGTCCAGCCCCCCTTTTTTTTGTTTCCGGATGGGACATAAGACGACAACCAAAATTGCCGGACAGAGAGCAAGCACAAGGTTGAAGCAGCGGTGCGGTAGATCGATGGATTTTGGAGAACTTGGATCTACACACTACCAGAAGATCTGTCCTCCGGTGTCTGCACGATGGCAGTTCGGAGACGACGACTGAGACTGGCGACACACTGACGATTGAATCAAAGGCTGGTATGGATCTGCTGGGTTAGTATGGACGAATGAAGCTGTGAAGCTGCTGGGACGGACGAATCTGCTGGAGGAGACTGACGATACTGCTGGGCGAAGGAGGGAACTTCCGGACGGAGGGAACTTCCGGCGATGCAGAGGAAAACGGACGGAAGCGATGATCGCACAAATCGGCAAGTTCCGATCTATGACGATTTGGTTGTTGATGTTGAACGGATCACACGGGCTATGACAAGAACGAGATCTGATGGTGAAGCCGCTGTCGCCGGACAAACCACAGGCGACGGCGGCAGCAGAAGCGGCAAACTAGAGGAAATTAGGATTTTAGGTTTTTTCCGGATTTGGCTCTGATACCATGTAGAAAATATAATTAGATCTAAACTTGAATGGTTTGATTGCACATAGATTTGCTATTTATAATAGCTACAAGACTATGACCTAATTACGAGCCCAACAAGAATGAGCCCATTAACAACAAACCCTACTACATTCCTTAACATTAATCACAAAATATATGGACTCATCGAGGATCATACCTAAATTGAATCAATTCGCATCACCATGTTTTTTCTCTTTCATATTCAAGTTTCGTTCTGTAACCCGTTACTATCAGACTCAATTTGAGGGTGTATGTTAGATAAAATGTATAATTAAGGGAGAAAGACTAAAGTATGATTTTCATGTTTTTATTCCCGAAATAGGATTTACATTACTATACATGGTCATATACATTACCAAAAAAATATAAAAATTTGCACATGTATCCTGCCACATTACAACAGGACAAAGTTACATTACCATAGTTCAAAGTCCTATTTCGAGAAAAAAAAATCTGAAACTTCTATTTTGGTATTATTCTCTATGTTTTAGTCCTATTTAGGATGATTTCTATATAATTAAATTATAATGTTAGGCTCTTGCTTTAATACTTTAAATTATATTCCTAAAACTATATATAGTGTATAATTGAGTAATATAATGTGTTTATTTAGGATGGATGGGTTGTCTCTTTTTCGACATGCGTGTATGTGTTAAATACTACGAGCACTATTCTCTTTTTTAATAAAATCGTTTGCCTTTTCGCAAAAGCAAAATATAAAAATATAAAAAAAACAAAAGCAAAAGAAAAAATAGAAAAAGAAAAGATTGACCGGGTCATATAATCTGTATCACAACTCTTTTCCATTTTGCGCCTTTGCTGGATTCACGACTTCACAGTTTTCTTCGTGCTGAAGGTATACGGATTATTTTTTTCATGAATAATAATAATAATAAATTAATAATAACAATAAATCAATAATAACAACAGTAATGAAATAAGTAAATAAATGTTAATGTTATTTGTTCAGTTTAACTTTTCCGAATCAAACTAGAAAAATTTTAAACTTTATTCAATTTTTATTGTATATTATTATAATGAAATAAAACTTTGAAAGTTCTTAATAAGATAAATCTAATTAAATCATTTTTATACGAATACAAATTACGGTCTTTGTTTAATTGAAATTCAAAATTCAACCAGTTTAACTCAAACAAGTCAAACTGGACAAATACACACTGAGACGAAGAGATTAAGGTCCTGTTTGGAATCAAAGTTAGAAATTAGTGTTAGGGTTTTGAAAAGGCTATCTGACTGCAGCCTTTAACGTTTGCATTTTTAGAATTAATTTACACCATTAAAATTTTATCCAAACCACTAATACAAATTAAAAACGATGTTTCCAAACAAAGTCTAAGTAAATAATTAATGTTTGCGACTCTAACATTTCTTTAATAATACCTCATCTTTTCTAAAAATAGCCTTTTGTTGCCGTTTGTGATGCTTAACCGAAGTTATTTCATAGTAATTTCTTGGAAAATTAGTATAGCTAGAATTTTAAAATAAAATTTATGTATTTAAGAACTATACCAAAAGATCTACGAAATTATATGTGATATGAGTATATTATTTAATCAAAAAAATAAGAAAAATAGACTTGCAAAATAGTTAAAATTTTTGCAAAATAGTTAAAATTTCAATAAATATAAAAAGATAGACTTATAAAAAAAAGAAACTACCAAAAGACAGAAAAAGTCAGTGAATCAAGGCCGTTTGGGAGACTCGACGCCGTTTTGGAGATAAGAATTAAAAAAGCAGAAAATAGTGCGGTATGGGGCCCACTTGCCTCGAATCCATCCATGTCGGGCCTTGAGAAAAATAAGGCCCAATCAAGTTTTTAACTTGAATCCGTTTAAAAAATATTGGGTTTTGAACAAAAGTTTTATTGGTCGCATTTAAACGCTAAAAATAGATCAAATTTGATCAAACTTGACCCGAAGTAATTTGATCAAATTTGATCAAACTTGAACTCGAGGTAATTCGAAGTGATCGAATCCGAACTCGATCTCGCTGGTCGATTTACCAGCTCTAGTCCTAAATCATAGAGTCCAATTTAATTTTTATAACACTATATCATAGTCATCTTCTGGATTTAATCTTTTTCTTTGATTTTTCACGATTCCTAATATTACATTTTGACCTTTAATAATATTGATATTTATAGATATATATTTTATAAAAATTTCTAATATTCCAAAACGACGTTCCAAAAGAATTATACTCCCTCCGTCCCTAAATATTCACAACATTTGCTTTTTCAGTAGTGTCGGAAACTTTTGTTTATTTCGACGTTTTTATTGATTATTTGATAAAATAAAATATTCTTGACACCTCTTATTTCGAAGAACTTTTCATGTACTTTTTTTATATGTAAATTTTATTTTTTATTTCTTTACCAATATTTAAATAAA